CAGCTGGGCAGAGTTTGCAGGTATCTTTGCAAAGCTTGCTTTTCCTTGGGATGGGAAAAGGGAGAACAAGGGGAAGCGTGCAACTTCTGGTCATATCCACCCTTCAAAAGCTCCCTTTGTCCTGTCCCAGCCTTTACTTTTTAAACAATGAATTCCAGGGTCATGGTGAACACTTTCCAAAGTGCAGCTTCTGGTGAGGAGTGGTATCTCCCTACTTTCAGCCTCATCTCTCCTCCTCCAGCAGGAACCAGATGAAGCAGGAGCTTGCACAGGATGGCCTGGCACATCCTGCCTTCTATCCCAGTGCTGATCACCTTGGCAGGGTGAGCTGGGAGCTCCCCACAAAGCTCTGCCATGCTTGTCCCAGCTGTGAGTGCAATGGCCAAAATCTGGCCCTACCTGAGCATTTTATGGTCCTCCACAAAGACCAGTGGGATCCATCATTTGGAAGCATTTTTGTTGCTGCTGGAGCTGCACTGGAGCAGGGTGGAGAAGGTCTAGGCTACCAGTTTAGAGGCAAGGGAAAAGTCAGATTTTCCTGTACCTCTCATTTAGAGACAAGGGAAAAATCAGATTTTCCTGCACCTCTGTCATTTAGAGACAAGGGAAAAGTCAGATTTTCCTGCACCTCTCTTGTTTAGAGACAGAGGGAAAAGTCAGATTTTCCTGCACCTCTGTCATTTAGAGACAAGGGAGAAGTCAGATTTTCCTGCACCTCTATCATTTAGAGACAAGGGAAAATTCAGATTTTCCTCCACCTATGTCATTTAGAGACAAGGGAAAAGTCAGATTTTCCTGCGCCTCTGTCATTTAGAGACAAGGGAAAAGTCAGATTTTTCCTTCACCTCTGTCATTTAGAGACAAGGGGAAAGTCAGATTTTTCCTGCACCTCTTGTTTGCTCCTCCAGCAGCACCAGGAGAGCTCTGCTTGCTGGGTGTGTGTGCAGAGGCAAAACCCCTCACTTGCCCCTGCACAGGCAGCAGGGACATCCAGCTGTGCTGTCCCACCAAGGTGCCTCAGTCTGAGGTGGAAGGAAGAGCTGGAGGGGTGTGAGAGCTCCAGGTGTGTTTAATTCAAAGTTCTTCACCAAACCTGGTAAATTGGCGAACTGCTGCCAGCTGGTGACTCTGGGAAAGCCAGCTGGTGTCATATCTGTGGCATCAGCAGGCTGGTGAGTGTCATGGATTAGTGGGAGGTTTGGGAAAGCCTCACATTAGCCCAGTGACAGATAAAACCCCACAACAAAAGCCTCATCATGCAAGGCTTGGAGGGAAATCAGGCTCATTACTTGATTCCTGAACCTATGAACCCCTGCATGCCTTGGCTCCATCTGGCCATTCTGCTGCTGCAGAGCAGTGTCACCCTTGTGTGTCTCTGGAAGGAAGGCTGTGATTAAGGTCCCAGCAGCTCTGGAGCCTGGCCAGGGTGTGATGTTAGGGTGGCACATGGCAACTCCATAACTGCCTGGCCAGGAAATGGGATATGAAGGGGAAGGCAAGCTCACTGCTTCTCTACTGGGTTCTGCCCCTCTCACCTGCTGGAGGGGCCCTGCCAGTGCTGCCTCCAGCCCCAGCTGTGCCTGCCCTGTCCTTCATCCCCATGGTTCTGTCCCTGCCATGTCAGTGCCCTTCATCCCTCTTAGGAGGGCTGACCACTGTGGGGTGGGCACATGCCCTGCTCTTCCTTCTGCCCAGAAATCCTGCCTGCTGTTCAGCAATGTGATGAGAGCAGCAGAACAAAAAGTGGAGCACCGGAATCAGCAGAGAGAGAGGCTGAGGGAAACCTGAGGCCCTGCCATGAGCCATGGTTATCAAGTTCTCACCTCCACAATGCTGCCCAGAGAAATCTGTTGTGCCAAGGAACCCAGGAAGGCTGGAGAGCAGAGCTGGCTGCTCTTCCCCAGGAAGGTCTCTGCACCTGAAGAACATCCTCTGGCTGATGGCTGGGGTGTAGCTTTTCTGTCATCACCCCTCTGAGCCTGTTCCATCAGTCCTGGGAACACAGAGGATGTGTTTTAGAAGGTGCATTGTTCACTTTGTAAGCAGCTTGCCCTTTTTGTCTTCTGGAGATCAGAGCCTCCTCTTGCCTGCTGCTGCTTGAAGGCAGTGACAGCAGGGTGGCCTGGTTAGGGGTGAGGTGTTGCAGGGCTCTGTCAAGGATTAGGGAAATGCAGGTCAGTGAAGGAGCTTGCCAAGATGTGTGGGTGGAGTTCTCAAAGGGGGGAATGGAAAGGATGCCTCTGTAGCCGAGTGTCCCACAGGCAGGGGATGAGTCTGTTACTAACAGGAGTCAGAGGATTCAGGAATTCGGATGCTCTGCTCCTCTGTGCTCTCACTGCAGTGCAGCCCCAAGCACCCTGGTAGAGATTCTGGGGACAACATCTTCCTTTGCAGGGTCCTGACCAAAATGAGAATGTTTGTGCCTCAGAGAGATGGACTGTGAGCCTTCTGATGCAGGAGTTTACAGTCCTTTAAAAAGCAGAGCAAAACAGCTTCTTGGCCAGCAAGCTGTCACTGCATCTTTGTTCTTCTCAAGACAGCCCAGAAGGTGACAGATATAGCTCTGTATTGGGTGTGCTCCACAGATTTACACCGTGACCTTTCATTGTGCATGTGGGTCTGGATTTCTGAATCATAGTTAGATACCCAAAAGCTGGCATTATCCATGATGTGGGATTATTTGAGCTTGTTTTCAGAGGTGTTAATCAAACCTGGCTTTGAATGAAGGCTGTGGGAGAAGACAGGCAGGCAGATGCCTCAGTGCTCAGCCCAGATGTTGGTGCATGAGCAAGATCCTCACCAGCTCCTCACACAGAGCTGGGCTTTGCAGAGCAGAAAGGCTCATCCTGCAAATTCACGGGGTCAAGGGGATTCCTGTGGCACTGCAGGGACTGCTTGAGAAGAGACAATGTGTCTGTGGTCCCACCTGTTCTAGATAATTTGCAAAAATGCTTTTAATATGGGTCTCTTTGAGCTGTCTCATAAGCTCTTGAAGGTCTATTTCATACCCAAGATAGCTCAGCTACCTTAGAAGGGTTAAAATCAACAGGATGGCTTCTGTGGTAGTTTTAAAACCAAAAAGGTTTTAATAAAAGGCAAAATAACGAAACTCTTTACAGAGAAAAACTGAGCCAGGTGCAAAAGGTCTTTGCCCCTAGTGAAACACCTCACAAAAGTGGTTAGTTTATTTGTTCTCTTCTTTTTCTAGTAAATTGCTTAGGCAAGACTTTTTAGCTTCTGTCCAATTAGCTATCCTTAAATTTGAGGTGAAGTCGCCTAAGTCCTATGAGATGTCTTTTCACCTAATTGAGGAGAGAAATTTCCAGACTTATTTCCTTTTTAAGGGGACAAAAGTTGGTTTTATCACTCTGTCAACAAGAAGCACATTCCTATAGCTTTTTATTTAAGGACTTGGGGAAAAATCTCTGCCTTCTGTGAGGTCACTGTCAACAGGCCTTGTGCCCAGTTCCCAATCAATCCATAGCTTTTAATGCCATCTGGTTTGCCCCAAAAATCTTATCTCCCAGCCTATTTAAGACCTGTTGTGAGAATGTTTCCTGAGAATGTTTCCTGTTGTTGGTGTGTACAGGACTCCTTCCTGTACTGCTTGTTTACCTGGGAAGAAGAAGCTGTTCTATTATGTGGCACCACACTGTGCCTCTGAACAGGCTGATCCAAGGCCTCTGGATGTGCCCAGCAATGGGTTTGGTTTCTGTGCCTCTGAACAGGCTGATCCAAGGCCTCTGGATGTGCCCTGGTTGTGCCCAGCAATGGGTTTGGTTTCTGCAGAGCAGCAGCCACCAACAGCTCACAGTCCCTTCTATAAAATTCTTGTGTTAGCAACAGTTTTGTGTCAGTTTTTCTCTGTTGGACAGGAGGGGAGCAGGAGGTTTGTACGGCATTGTGCTAGTTTGGGATGGTTGGGAATCACAGAATTATTTAGGCTGGAAAAGACCTCTAAGATTGAGTTCCACCTGTGACTGAGTGCCACATCCAGTTGTTCCTCCACCTCCAGGGATGGAGACTGCACCACCTCCCTAGACACTCCATTCTGATGTTTAACAACCCTTTCCATGAAGAGCTTCCTCCTGCTGTCCAAATTTATGGGGAATTTTTCAGGGAACTGCCCCTTTACCAGTGGATCATGCTCCACTGATGACAGATTTCCTCCCCATATGTCCCTTCCTGAGAACCACCACGAGCTCCCAGCTCAGCTCCCATCGTGAGGCAAGTGCTCAGAGCTGGTCACAGCTGGCCTGGCCTGATCTTCAAACCTTGGCCTCAAGGTGAGGCTCTCCCTGTGCCCTTTGGAACAGCCTCAGCTCCTGCTGAAACCAAAATTGGCTTTTACCAACTATCAAGCAGTGCCTGGACATGAGTGGATTTCATTTATGTGACCTTTGTGTGAGGGAAGTGTGGAACAACCCTGGAAGTGTTTGCTGGGTACCCACTAAAATTTATTTCCCATAAATTTGAGCACCTGTTGGTGCTCCTGTAGCCTGACTGGTGCAGACACTGCTGCAAGCTGGGACAGCAGGAGTGGGATGCAGTTTTGCTTGATTGGAAACATAAATGGCAAGGATGGGGGAAGCAGGGGACAAAATGTAATGGGGTTTTGTCCCCTGTAAAACATGGGCTTGCTCCCATTTTCACAGAATGAATCGCACACCCCTCCAAAAAAAGAGAAAAAGAAAGAGGAAAAACCAAAACAAAACAAAGCCCCAAAAAACAAAACTAAAAAAAGAAACCTAAAACAAACCAAAACACAAAACCAAAAAACAACAACAAAAAACCCCAAAAAACCAAACCAAACCAAAACCAAAACAAAACAAACAAAAAAAAAAACGAAAAAAAACCCCAAAAAAACCTTTAAAAAAAACTTTTGGAGGTGTGGACCCACACATTTGGGTGCTGAGGAACTGGGGGAGGTGTTGGCAGTGGTTGGTGAGGGGCTGGAGCTGCAGTGCCCCCAGGCTGACGTGTGCTTGTTTCTCTGCCAGGATTACACCATCACCATGTACTTCCAGCAGAGCTGGCGGGACAAACGCCTGGCCTACAATGACCTTCCTCTCAACCTGACCCTGGACAACAGGGTGGCTGACCAGCTGTGGCTGCCTGACACCTACTTCCTGAATGACAAGAAGTCCTTTCTGCACGGGGTGACGGTGAAGAACCGCATGATCCGGCTCCACCCCGACGGGACCGTCCTCTATGGCCTCAGGTGAGTCCTGGGGTTTGCTGGAATGGTTCCTGTCTGTTGGGAAGGGTGAAAGTTTGACAAGAAAGTCTCACAGATATGTGTGCTTGGCAGAAAGATTTTTGAATGTAGAATTTTGTCGTGGTTTAGGGCAAATTTGGGAGAAAACCTCCAAAGGGGGTCCCTCCAGAAAGCAAACCCACATTGTTCCCACCAAACGGTTTGGGAAGGACTCCTCAGAGAGAAGTGGAAAGAACCTGTTAATTTAACAGGCACAGCACCCCCCAGCACACAAAATGATCAGTGTTGGATGACACCACTCTTTCACTGCTCTGAAAAAGATGACAAATTCAGAAAGTCTCTCTGGGGGTGGTTGCTCTGTTCTCAGTCCCTCCGGCGCTGGGGATGGCTGCTGCCCAGAGTAGGCCCCGCTAGGCCACAGGGTGAAAACTCTTGGGGTTCCCAGGTCCCAGTCCTAAGCAGGTTCAAGTAGGTCCAAAAAAAGGGAAAGGAAAAACAGTCTAGGGAAAATTTGGACTGCTTAGCTAAACTAACTAATGAGCAGAAGCAAAAAGCAGGAGCAAAGCAGAAGCAAGAGCAAAGCAAAAAGCCAAGCAAAAAGCAGAAGCAGCACTATGTACTGCCCCATCTCTGTGTCCCACCAGCCATGGGGGAGCAAGCTGATAAGAAACCAAAACAAAGCTTTCACTCTTCAGAGCCAGTCTTGAAGGCACAGAACATAATATCCAGCATAAACAGAACACAGGAATGGGGATACAAACATGATAACATCACCCTAGGACAAACCTGAAGAAGGAATAGAGATGGAAGCAAGTTTCCATATAGAAGAAAAGAATTGCTGAGCCAGTCTCACTGGCTAACCAAGGATATGTTAGTTAGAAGGGATTTTTATGACTTAGAGCAAAGGATAAACTCACCCCAAACAAGATGTTTTTACCAAGTAGAAAGCACAGGTAAACAAGATTGCCCATGTTGCAAGTAGAAAAAAGGTCTCAGAATTTTCCACTGCACGAAAACTGAAAAACAACTTCTAGCTTAAACTGTAATGTACTAACTTTTAGTGATTGGAGAACAGTAACATGAATATAGTAATTACAGTAGTTATGATAGGCTGTAGATAAAAGTTAAGGTACAGATTGGTTCTACTGTATTGAGACGCTCAGCAAAGAAAAGTCTATAATGCAATGTAACCAAAACCAAAGGGTCTCCAGGGCTGCCTGCAGCTGGAGCTGACAGCTGTGGGCACAGCTCTGTCACCCACAACCCCGGACTGCTGTAACTCTTGGACGGAATAAACTGCATTTTGAAGAGCTGCCTGAGTCCCACATCCCTCATTCAGGCTCTTACTCCTGTCAAAAACCACACCTCATTTGAACTTCTCATGTCTCTAAAAATATTCTGGCAAGGCAAGGGCCCAAAAGATACTCCAGTGCTACGCAGTTTTGTGTCTCTGTTCTTTCTCCAAGCTGGAAATGGCTGTTTCTTTCAGGCCTCCAACATTTCCTGTGCTGCTATAGATGGATGTTGGAGAGGGGAATAGTCTGCTCTGGGCGTTTCAGGTCACTGTCATTCATGTTGCATAACACTTCCATTTGAAACACTCATTTTCAGTTGCTTATAATTTTCTGCAAGTTTGGGCTATGGAGATGAGCCTTTGTTACTGTGGTATCCAGGACTAAATGTCTGTAGCCTTTTAGTCAAACCACTTCAGTCAATTTTTGTGTTCAAGATGGGTTTGTGTAAGGTTAAGGAAAACATCTGTTTATTAGAACAATTCTGAGGAATGAGGCTTGAAAATTGATATCTGGTAGGAGAATGGTCCTCAGTGAGGAGATGTTTTGTGGTGTCTGGAACATAGGCAAGTCCAAGGCCTTTGAAATTGCTGTGCTTGTGTGAAGTGCAGGGAGAAAAGGTTGCTCTTACTCTTTTATCTGGGTATGTAAAGGGGCAGGGTATGTAATAAAGTTGAATGGAGAAGTAGAGGGCAAAAAGGCAAATTTGCAGCTGCAGAGTGCTGTAGCTGAAGTCTAGAAAATGGTTTTTCCAACCCTGTATTTGTTTGCTTTAGTCTCAGGGTTTTGGGGTTTTTTTGTTTGGTTTTTTTGTTGTTGTTGGGTTTATTTGGTGAGGGTTTTTTATTTTTGTCATGCTTTTTTTTCCCTTTTCAGTTACCAAAATTCACAGCTGGCTCTTTTGACCTGCCTCCACAAATATTTGTGATAGCATCTGGGCTTTTGTCCCAGAGATGGAGGCAAGGGGGAGAAAAGACCTTTCCCCTTCAGAGAGGCACACCCACCCTTCCATTCACAGTATCAGCTGTTGTGCTCTGTTGTGTTCTGTGGCAAAGTGTGACTTTAGGATTATTTTACACCTCTCTGAGTGGCAGGGCTGTTTTGAGGAGGGTAGGGCATGGCAAAGCAGGAGGCTGCCCAGAACATCATCCTGCCAGAGGTGGTTGTGCCCTGTGCTCTCCCTGCAGCAGAGCCCAGGGAAGCCAAAGGAGCAGCAGCACTGCTGGTGCTGAGGGACACCCTAGGCTCCCTGGGGTCATATCTGGGCTGGTTTTGCCTTTTATTAATGGAAGCCTTCTGCTCCAGGCCCAGCTCTGTGAGCCTGTCCCTGCTGTGCCTCTCCCTCCCCAGGACAGGCACATCATCTCTCCCCATTGCCAGTGATGTTGTTTGGCTGAACCTGTCACACAGCCCCAAGCTGCCTTTGCTGACCCACCAGAGAGACTACAGCAGTCCACAGCTGCTCTCCCAGATCTCCTCATTGTATCCCAAGAGCAGTGAAGGGCAGGCAGGAAGATATTTTGACTTGGAAGCAGGTAGGAGTATAAATTCAGGAAGGAGGGGGCAAAGAATGCTGCTGAGCTCAGGCTGCTCTTTGCTGCTGATCAGCCCACCTGAGCACAGAGCTGCCTCCCCCAGGCTGGTGGGCAATCTCTGCACACACCTGCACAGCACAACTACAAGTGCTGCTGTATTTTTATCAGCTGCTATTTAGCTTGAAGAACGAGCAGTGTGAACCCAGGCAGTGCAAGTCCTTGGAGGGTTTGCACTCGAGCTGGCTGGGGCTGGGACACTCAGCTCCTCATGCACTGTCCCTTCCCTTCCCTTCCCTTCCCTTCCCTTCCCTTCCCTTCCCTTCCCTTCCCTTCCCTTCCCTTCCCTTCCCTTCCCTCTGGAATGACCTGTGCAAATGGGAGAGAAGAGGAAAATTGCACCCAGGCCAAATGAAAGAAAATGACAGCTGTTTGTCTGCTATTTCCAGGCCTCAGTAAGAGCTGCCTGTGTTGGTTTAACTTTTGGCTGGTTTTCCTGGAAGCTGCTCCCTTGCCCCTGGAGAAAATGACATTTGCCGAAGTGAAGCTCTGAGCAATGGCAGCTCCTGCTCCCCAGCTGTACCTCAGGTCAGGGTGGCTTGCTGGAAGCACTGGGGGTACAAGCCAGGTGCCCTGAATGCTTGAAGTCCCTCTAGCTTTGCTCACAGTGGTAGGAAAAGGATTTCTTTAGGGCTGCTTTCTATGCTGACTCCTGGACCTGCATTCTTGCTGAAAACAGGAGTACTAGGTCCAGTTTTTTCCAGGTGTAAATAACAATGATCCTACTCAGAAATACACAGCAGGTGTAAGCAAGCAAGCAAACAGTCCCGGAATATTCACCTGAGCTCCCCTCCTCTCTGTAAATGTGCAGCCAGGCTTGCCCTGCCAACAGGCAGAGAGGGGCAGGTGCACCCAGTGCTCTGAATCCTGCTCTTGTCCTGCATTTTGTGGAGGAATTGATGAAATGGAGTCACCGTGATGGCAGAGGGCCAGAGGAGGCAATACCTGCCTCTTTTCCTTTGTTTGCCAGTTTGCCCCTGAGCAGATCCCACATCTCCTGCTCCTCTCCCTCCTCACCAGCCGCTTCCCCCTCCTCTGAGCTGATCCTGTAGCAAAGTGACTCAATCATGCTATTTGTGGCACAACAGTCATTTTTTTCCAGCAGGCTCTGATGTCAGAGAGCAGGGAAGGATGACATCCTGGCAGGCCCCTGCCTTCAGCAAGTGTTCCAGGGACCAGCAGGACCAGGCTCAATCCCTGGACCAGACCCCAGGGTCCCAGTGAAGGCACACCCAAGTCATGAGGAACTCCTGACCACTGTGAGAACAAGAGCAGGCTCCAGATAACTTGTTTGCATGAGTAAATGAAGCCCTGTAATCCATTGTGAGAGCTGGGTGTCAGAAAAGCATATTCTTCTTGGTTTTGGTGGAATTAGCAAATTAATGGTTGAAGGAAGTGCAATCCAGCTCCATCTCAGGGAAGCATTCCATACAAAAGCTTACTCCAAAATTAATTCCCACCAGGCTCACATTTATAGCTGGTTGCCAGGTCTCCAACAAAAGGAATGAATAAACAGCAGCAGTGATGCTGGGATGCAGGACTGGTGTTTCCTACCCCCTTCCCCAAGCAGTTACCAGATGGCACAAACCCAGAAAGCCAAAGAGAGCCCTGAGCCAGCCCAGAGGGCAGCCCCAGCTCTGCAGGCACGGTGGGATGGGAGGATGCAGAAGGTGTGACCTGGCACTGGCATGGGAGGATGCAGAAGGTGTGACCTGGCACTGGCATGGGAGGATGCAGGAGGATGCAGGAGGTGTGCCTGGCACTCACCTGGGCCCTGAGCACCTTGCTGGAGTGAGAAGTGCCTGTGGAGCACAGAAGGGATGTTCACCCACGGTGTGAAACTGGGGAGTGCTAAAATGATGTGGAAATCTTGCAACAGCAAGGGAGGCTTGAGGGTGTTACCCACAAAGGCAAAGCTGCTGGGTGGTGGAGAAAGGTGGATAAAACAGTGAAGAAAATCTGCATAGCTGGCTGAATTTCATATATTTTCCCACCTAATGGAAAAATATATTAATTTTTTTGGTCAGAAATTGCATCAGTTCCATCAAGTTTTAAATAAAAAAATAGGGAGAATTTTTTTCATTTAAGAAAAACCATGTCAGTGCATGTTGATGTTTCA